CAGAAATGTAATATATATATATATATATATATATATATAATTACAAAAAAGAAATCTAGAAGTTCGAAAATTTGTTTAAAAAAAGTAAATAAATAAAACGAAGACAAGAAAACAATACAGGGGATAAAAAAAAAAGCAATAGACAATTTTGAAATTCCAGTAAATCGCTTTTGAAATGCACGTCAATCGCTGTTTTGATTTAAGATATAATTGAATTAAAAAGAAAGGAAGGAAAAAAAAACAAAACAAAGAGGCGAAAGGAAAACGAAATAGCTTCATGTAATCGCGTCCAGCAGGTAGTATACATTATTTGATTGAAAGGCTGGAGCTAGATAGAAAGCAACTCAATCCCAAAGATTTGGACAACCATTTCAAACAGGGAAGGGGAGGAAGGAAGGTACATCTTCTCACAAAACACGTGTGGTCCAAGGGGGTCAACTTCATTAGAGGTCTGAAGGCCTTGCTCTATAATTAGTGAAACTCAATAATTTAATCTGTTCAGTTTTTCGCCGCCGGCTGATTTATGTTACTTTACCGCCATGGGTGGCAACAGCGCGTGAGAGAACGGGAAAAAAGTGCTGTTCCCCATCCCAATCCCAGATCCCCCCCCCTCTCCACGCACATACCCTACCTTACGCATGGAAGGTTGCCATTTCCATGTATTGGCGTGATTTTTCTCACGTGGATTTGACGGAAAAAGGTAAGTGGTCAATTGGTGGGCAGATATCAAACCGACACCCTCTTCTCCATATTCTTCCAAGAAGGCGACTTAGCCTCCCCTCCCCCTCTTTTTAGTGATGAAGTGAAACTTCTTATTCCATTTTGCGTTTGAAGTGATCGATGAGTTCTGAAAAGATCTGAAATGATAAAATAATTATCATAGATGATAGTACTGTATTCAGATAATAAAATGTGAATTTAATCTGAGGAGTTCCTTATAATACCACGCATTGTGGATAATTTTCATGCTTTTCGGTGAAGATTTTTCCCGCAACATATAAGCTGTAATGTTTAATGCCTGGTTCTATAAATTTGATGTTAAAGATTTTGGCTATCGTAACGCGTAAATATTTAAGCTATAGGCCGGAAAAAATCTGTATATTTAGGTTGCGTCTAGTCTTAACTATCAAACTATTTTTCACTAGTTACTAGATTGCAAAAAGTATAAATTAACTGCAATGTTTTCCATTTATGTTTGACATTAAATAAACTTGATTACAAAATGATTATGATGTGTTTGAAATCGTAACTTTGAACAATCATGGAATTTTTTAAAACTCATTATAGATAAGTAATAATTTTTTTTAAACTAGTTTAAAGATAAAGTGTTATGAGTTAAAAAAAAACAAACAAACTGAAAATTCACAAACTTTGCGCACTGCGCCAAAAAAAAANAAAAAAAAAAAAAAAAAAAAAAAAAAAAAGAAGAAGACTATCCTGAATAAATTTTTATCCAATGATCGGATCTTCTAGGGCTCAATCTTAATGGTTCGAGGGGGGGTGACCTAAAATATGCTAATTGATTAGTGCAGACGATATTTTAAGTTACGAAATCAGACACAAAAACATACTTTCTCTGATTAAGATACCTTTTTTTCGACGGAATCGGATTTCTGATCCCTAAAATATAGGGAGTTGCCGAAATTTGGGAAATATTGTCCTAATAGTTTGGTCAGGAGAGCTGTCCAAAGTTTTGACTCCTTAATGATCATTTCACTTTTTGCCTATTTCGCCATATCTCGAAAACTTTAAAAGCGAATTAAAAAATTTTTGCTCACAATTATGAAATTCGTTTATTCAAAGATAATTCCACGCAAAAAAAAAAAGAAAAGTCCTTTTTCGTAACTATTTATAATTTTTTTAAAATTTTATTTTATGACAGTCGAAAAAATTTTGAATCGTAAATTATACAATTTTTTTCCGCATTTTAAAGTATCTAATTTTACAAGTCGAAATGCAAAATTTGAACAAAATCGTTCGAATAGTTCATGAGAAATCAAAATTTAAAAAAGTTATAAATTTAAAATTTGATTTCTCAGGAACTATTCAATCAAATTCGCACAAATTTTCCATTTTGTCATTTAAAATTACTTTTTTTTAAAATGATGTAAAGCAACTATATACCTTACAATAAAATTTTTTTCGACTTTTGTTAAATAAAATAATAATAAATATTTACTTAAATGTATTCTTTGCATGGAACTATCTTTGGATAAATGAACTTTATAACTGTGTGCAAAAATATGGCGAAATACGCAAAAAATAAAAATTAACATTAGGTGGCTCAAACTTCTGCTCTCTCATTGCTCTCCTGAGCAAAATAACATGAGCAATAGCATGAGCAACTGGAGCATGAGACAAACATGTGAAGAACAACACAAATATACGTCCGGGGTTCGAACTCGCTACTTCCACGTTACAAAGTATTTGGCGGGAGAGATCACCACCGGCCCTCTTAAAAGGTTTTGAAAATTCCGGTATACTTTTTATACTCATTAAATTCTCATTTTTGAAATGGTCTAATGGCAGGCGATCTGCCTTGTAACAAGACGCTTGGGGTTCACATTATGCAGTCGACTGTTTTTTTTTTTCTCTCTCTCTATCTCTCTTTTATTTTTTCCCCTAATAAAGAATTTTTTTATGTTTAAAAATAGTTTAAACATAATTTTACTTAAATGTATTTTTTAAAATATTTGCCATTTCCCTATATTTAAATTGCACTGATCTTTTAACAAAATTATAGCGGTTAAAATAATATTTATTATAAACAATGCTCATGATAGCTTAATAGTTTGATTTTTGTTAATTAATATTATTACGAATTTTATTCTTGAATAGTTATCTAAATTGTGATTATCATGAGAAAAAAAAATGTTTAGTATATAGCACAGTTAATAGAACATGATTGTTAACAAGAACATTTCTGATGTTGATTTACAATCTGCCGAAAAATACTTCATTAGCATTAGAAAAGAATTCTCAACCTTTTTTAGAGTTTTTAGAAGAGTTCTCATCGTATCTTATCATAAAAATTAGCGATGGAAATTGAAGATGAACTATTGTTTTTATTTCAATTTAAACTTCAGGTGAATTTATTTCTCGATTTTGTTCAATTTACAATAAAGAATTCGTAAACACATTGTTAGATTTTTTTTTATCTCTAAAAATAAACGCTACAAGGTTGTATAAGTTGGGTATACATTTTGGAGGAATCATTTTGAAATCTAACTTTTAAATTATTCAAATCGCTATCTATAAATGATATTATTTTAACCTATATCCTTCCCGTGAATGATTTAACTATTACATTAATTTAAATTTCAAGTAAAATTTAATCGGGCACCTCTACCACGTATTGGCCTGTGACGTTGTAAGGCAGTGGCGCTGTGATCGCGTTTAGTTAGAGATAACTTATTTGCTCGCCGAAGTTTGTAGTGTAAGTACGTTTTGAAACAACGGGGCTTAGCCTAATCTTTGTTTCCTTTTTCATGTCTTTGTTTTCCTATCCATGACGTCTAAACAAACGATGCCACAAGATGGCCGATAGTTGAGACCTCTGAGGTTCGAGACAGGAAAATGGTCCAGCCTA